ATGTAAATGGAAATATACGTATGCCAGGGTGCACTACACGTAGAAGTCAGAGGGTAGCTCTTCTGCTTCCATTTTGTTTTTCGGCAAGGCCTATCCTGTGCTCCCTGCTCCAGGCTAGGTGGCCCTTTAACTTTTGGCCAATTTTCTTGTCTTCGCCTCCCATCTCACTGTAGGAGGATCACGGAAGAGTGCCATCACAGCTGGCTTTTTCTTTCTTTTTTCATTTTACATACCAATCGGGGTTCCCCCTCCCTCCGTACCTCTCTACTCCCTACCTCCCCCATCCCACTCCCTATCCCTTCCTCAGAGAGGGTAAAGCCTTCCTTGGAGAGTCCACAGAGTCTGGGGTACTAAGCTGAGGCAGAACCAAGCTCTTCTCCTCTGTGTCAAGGCTGAGCAAGGTGGCCCACCCTAGGGAATGTGTTCCAAAAAGCCATTTCGTGCACCGGGGATAAGTCCTGGTCCCACTGCCAGGGGCTCCCCAAACAGATCTAGTCACATAACAGGGATCTTGGGATTGAGTCCACAGGCTCCGGTGACAAGTGCTTTTACCCGCTGAACCATCTCCCTGGTCTCTGCTCTAACTTTTCACTCTTAGTCTTTCATTAACCGTTTATTATATAATTTACTTTCATTTCATTTAGCACATTCATGATACACATAATGTATCCGAAATTCTCTTTGTATTCATCCTCTACTTTTTATTGTGTTAAATTACCACATTATTCCCAAACAAAAATGCATTGCAACAACATGTAAACTAAAACGTTATGATAAAGTATTACAAAAAGTGTCACACTAGATCTTAACAAGTCATTTGCTCTTTCTAATTTCTGTAAGATCTTTATGGAGATAACAACAACAAAAAAATAAAACTCTCAATTTGTTCAATTAAGTTCCTTGCCTTTCCCTTGTCTTCTGAAGGAAATTCAGGCTGTCATAAAACTGAACCATGAAATATCTCTATCTGGATAAAGAATTTTATAGAAAATGTTGTAAAAAGCATAATTTAAATTACTTGTTCTTTCGAAACTTAAGTCCTAACAGCTAAAAAAAAAAAAAAAAAACAAGTACAATTTGAACTAGTCAAGATTTGACAAAAGAAATGAAACCAGTTATTATCCACGGGAGACCAGAAAGGAACAGAAGAAAAAAATTAACTGGGCTTAAAATAGTAAAAATATTAGATTCATGAATTATTCATAATGCTAATCTGGATAGGATAGACTCAAACAGAAAAAAACTATTGTGCTGTATATATTCCTAATATATGACCATTTTCCACCTATAGAATTTACCAATATTACCATTTTAATATCAAACTGTCCTAGCTCTGTTACTTAATATTTATGCATATATATGTTCAAATCATTTTTTTTTATTTTCGGTTTAAACATACTGGTGTTTGCAAGAGTAATCCAACCTTGGAGAAACTTTTACATTCATGTTTTTATTCCTTCAACCTACCTACTACTTCCAAGTACCTTGGATACAGGCCGGCTCAGCAATCATTGCTGTTCACCAAGCTGTTTGTATTTCATTTAAGGACCTTTAAGTTAGCAAACGCCTTCTGGGCGTCCCACATCACCAGAAAGCAGGCCTAGAAATATCTTTACACCACCCCCAAGTTCACCAGAACAGAAAATCCTTGAATCTTTCTTGCACTGAAGGTAGCAAAGTTTCTCCTTAAACTCGAGGTAGCCTATCATAAGGTAGCTATTGATGAGAATAGTCTTGAGACATATGTATCCTAACTCCATCTTTATTCATTCCCTAGTCTACTGTTCAGTGGGAGACTCTCACGGACTGTGTGCAACAAAGGCACACAGTGGAAAAGAGCAGGCTGTGCTCTACACATCTAAAATAGTCCATGGGCAGAGGTAATAAATTTCCACACAAGCTTCTAGACAGCTGGTAAAGTCAGCTCAGCCAATCTGTAGCATTCTTATTTTCCTTAAAACAACTACGGATTTGTTACTGTTGCTCATATTTTGTAACCATACACCTTCCCACTCAGCGACCAACTCTGGAAACCCTTCGGAAACCTTTGCTAATTGTTTTCTCTGTATCCTCAATTGTCATGCTTAAAGAAAGGAACCAACATTGCTCCATCCCCCAATAGTTCATTGACTGGTTCCTCTCATCTCTTAACTTTTACCCAATGCTTTTCTTCTGTGAATGTCTGATGATCCCTCGCAGTAACATCAAAGCAAGACTTCATCTCACTCCTGGTTATCTTTTCTCTTAGTTCTCAGTCTTATGCGCCAATGCAATGTAATTTCAGCTATTTGAACTTCGCAATTGCCCTCAAAGTGTGTTCCAACAGCACCTTTGTATATGTATCTATCTGTACTGCTTCATACCGCTTCACAACACTCCACTGCATTCTGTGTTTCACTGTGACTTTTTTCTGTTTATCCTTCATTCTTAATTTAACCAACTTTTCCTCTGCGATGTTTCATAATCTCCCGTGTAACCAGACAGTCATTTTTCTGTCTATTCTGTAGTAGTAGAAACACATTTCAGCATGAGATTGTGTTTCTCACCACTAGTTTGTATGGTTTCATTGTTTTCTGCTTGTTTTAGAAAATGTCTCATTGTAGTGTAGGTTTCCCTAAAACTCTCTATGTAGCTGAGGATAACTTTGAACTTCTAATCTTCCTGATGTGGGCTACCATGCCCAGTTTCATGCTGGTGCTGGGAAATGAGACCAGGGCTTCCTTCACACAGGCTGTCCAAGCACTCTATCCACTGAGCCACATCTTATGATTGGCATAGTGTGTGGACTTCATGGTCACAGTGACAATGTGTTTAAAGTTCCATCTTTGTCTTCAGTTCCTACTACGTCTTACTACTGGACATACAGTAAATATTTTAATATGTATTATACTAAAATGCAATTATAATATAACAACATATGACCTTTTATGGCAAGTGCTGTAACTAAGACATAGGTGAGCTGAGAAAGATGGAGAAGGTTTTGTAACATGAGTTATATTTAAACTTGTTCAGAATTCATGACTGAGGAAGTCAAAGACCCAAGCGGAGACTCTATTGATGCTTTTCTTAATGGTTATATGCCTTTCAAATACTTATGTTCTAAGTATATAATAATGCTATTTTTAACCTTAATCAGATGAACTCCTTATTGTGGTGGGTAATGGTTAATACAGAGACTCAGAAACGTTCAAGTGCTGAAAATAAATGACAGTGTACTCAGTCACAAAGGGTCCTCATATAAACCAACTGTATCCCTCAAGTCTAAGAGAACATTGCAGAAAAGATGACAGAAAGAATGTAAAAGCTAGAGAACAGGAGAATGCCAAAATGTGGTTCATGGATGGAGTTGTGTGAGGAGAATTCTGAGAGCTTGTGAAAAAAACTCCAAGAAAACTAGACAAGCCTCTTGTAAACTCTGATCCTTCTAAGCATGGATTTGTTCTTGGAATGTGCTTTTATTCTGCTCCTAGGTGTAGTAAGTAGGAATGGGTTTGCTCCAGACAGATTGCATATTGCTGCTGACCTTTGTTATTCAAAAATGTTTCCAAGCGTGGGTTGTGCTTGTGTCTGGATACAGCCTACATTCCTGTGAACTTTGGTCCTATGACCTTGCTTAACCCTCAGGATACCTTCAGAACATAAATTGTCTAGTGCACTCAGTAAAGTTGGCCATTTCATGAGACCTAAGTTTGCCTCATTTTTAGCCTCCAGTCTTTCAGGTTCATACTACCCACAAAGCAACAACAGGAGAAAGTGCCACAAAATGCCGTCTTCCATTTATGACAATAACTGCTGCACACATGAACTCACAGCAACTGTGATTATTTGTACAAGACCTGCACAAAGTCAAGCCATTAAAAAACGCCAGCATGATACAGGGCTCCTGGAGCTTCAGGCCCCATATAAATAACTCCTGGTGGTGATGTCTGCTGGAGGAAGGAGAGTTATTTTTCATTGGGGATTAGTCAGCACGTGCAGACTGCCCATACTCCAGTGGGTGACCCCCACACCCATGCATATATGGGCAGACCCCGCCAGACTCCATGTGTTAAAATAAAAAAGGCTATAAACTTAGGTCTGAGATGTTGGGGGTATCCCAAGGAGAAACTGGAAGGAAGAAATGGGTGTGGTTATGATCAAGTTATATTGTATATGTGCATGAATTTCAAAGAATAAACTTTTTTAAAATGGGTGTATGCAAAAATAACTATATGAAAGCAGAAAGCTATCTTAGGAATATATTGATGGAGATCATAAATATCTCAATAAAGGGTATAAGGTGATTATTGACTCTATAAGAAATAAAACATGGCTGGTATTAGCAGATTGGTTTTACACCTCATTTAGTAAAGAAAAGGAACCATAATGCATTGAGCAGAAAGTCAGCTTAGGAAAACGTTATGGGAGTTCACATGCAAGTATATTTTTGTTTGTTTGTTTCTTTGTCTTGAAAATAATGGAAATACTATTGGACAAGTAGATATTACTCATAGATGAGATTGAGTAAAAATGCAGATATAGAGAGAGATAGGGATAGAGATTAATGAAGATGTTGACCTTCTGATAAATTTAAGATCAAGAAATTTAGGCCCAGAACAGAAGAGTGATTTTGACAAATTCACCACAAATCAACACAGTTCTGACTCTATAACATTTTAGAAGGCACATATCCAACAATAATTTAGTATGTGGTTAGAGAAGATGGGGATACAAGCCATAGAGAAAGCAAAATAGGTATGAAGTAATGAGCCTACAGTTTGGGGAACTTTAATTTCTTTTCTGTATCATTATTTTACTTTTCCACATGGGAAAGACTGGTTTACTGAAAGCAGAGACCTTCCCTATTCGTTTGAAACCCCACCACCCAACCATGGTTGGTTCATTTTGTGTAAGTTACATTGGGTTGCTCTCCAACACTGGGTCCTGGCCGCTAAGACTACAGTTTGTGTCAGAGCTTGCTGTTTATTGCTGTTAGATGCATGGGTCTGCCTCTTTCTTACCTGAGGAAGCCTGGTTGCAAATCAAGTGTGTACAATGTTCCTTTTGAAGACCGGAACACTGCAGCTTTAGTGTGTCCTTGCACCAGACATGAAAAAAGGGGAAGGACCAGCTTGAACAATCATTGTCTTCTTGTCACAACTCCACACATGGCTTTAGATTTGACGTATTGAGGTATAGCATGTTTGACGACAAGGCAGCTGCAGAAACATTATCAAAAAATGGCGCATCCACATTAAAGAAATGTATCTTTCAATAAGTGAAATGTAAGTTAAGAAAACAAAAAAAAATTCTAAAATACTGAAATTTGATGGCTCTTAACTTTTTTATTCTATGTAGAAAGCAAACTACATCACACAGGGTCATAGCCCAGGAGAAAACTTTAAAAAAACAAAATATGTGGCAACCACTGAAAAGACCACCTCCTTTTCACTCCAAATGTTTTTTTTTTTTAATTGTAATTTAGATTTATAGAGAAATTATCTCTTGGAATGCACTAACCTTGCACATTACCTGTTACATTTAGATGGCTATAGCTCTTAAGAAATCCAAGTAATTTCTAAAGAGATGAGTTTTAAGACAATTATTTTAATCTTTTCTCCTCCGTTTCCTCTGTAAATTCTAAAGTAATAGGGTAGCTTAAGCCAATAAGTATCTAATTTGAATTTTTAAAATCTCAAAGTCGGTAGGGAATTCTCTTTGCATGATGCAGGGCATTGAAGGGAAACTTGTAAATGGTTACCCTTCTTTTCTGTGTCCATACATGACAGGATCTACTGTTCCTACAGTCGGTTCAGTCAAAGAAACCATTTGACCTGAATGTCTGACCCAATGACCAGCGGATTGACTCAGTGCCCAGCCTTCAGCCCTGCTCTGCCCATGCGTGTCCATGGGCTTTGTTTGCTTGCTGGCAGTTTCCGCATAGAGAACACACAGCATACGCCAGGTGGCCATGTGTCTGAGGCAGACAGGAAAGAACAAAGCAAAAAAAAAAAAAATTCATTTGGACAGAGATGCTTTTCAGCCCTCCAACTGCCAGTAACCGAGAAGAGAAGAAAATGCGATGATGCTTGAATATACTCAACAGTAAACAACATCAAGCCGAGATTCAGATCACAAATCTCCCTCCGCCGCCGCTGACAGGCTCAGCATGCACATGGGGGCAGGAGACAAAGAAATCTGCTCACGGAGGAGGCAATACTGGAGAAGAACCTCACCCTGACTGACGGACTGCCTGCTACCTCTCAGATGGCTGTTTGAGGATATGTTCGATCATAAGCATGTGTTCCTAGGTCAGAAACCTGTTTTGATAAAGGAGAGAACAAAGCAAAAGAAATCAAAATTTGCTTTGTGTTCACATCTTTCACTTCCCCTTAGCATTTAATGTCCTGCTCACCCTCTCCTAGCTCACAAACTACCGAACACAGAGAACAGATGCTCACGCCGTCTCGGAACTGTTAGAATATCATTTGATTACAGAAGCAAAAGGATGTGGCTTCTTTAAGAAGAGAAATGGATAATTTCCCTTACAAATATGCAGTGGCGTACTATTAAGGATGAACACCTTTTCTTCTCCGCAGTTATTATTTAGAAGTTGCTATCAGGTAGATGCAAAACTAGTTCACTTCCGGCCCTCTGACTTCTAATAGCGCTACTAACTTCCTGCCATTAATCTTAAAAAAAACGAGAAAACTGGCATTCAAAACTGTCAGTTGACCAGTCCCAGTTCAGTGTTCTTCTGATTCCAAAACCCGGTCAAGTACCATCACAGAGAACTATTGCCTTGGTTTATTAGTTAAGTCTGTTTGTAAGAGTTTCTTCAGCGTAGTGTATTTTTTTCCTACAACTGCGCTGTTTGTGCTGTTTAACTAATTCAATACAAGTGAGTGTCATTCTACATGTTTTCATATATGAGGAGAGGACATCTTTTGGCATTTCCCCCTTTTTTGAGGAATTTTTTTTTCTCTTTATATCACATCTGACAAATTCCTTCCATTAGTTTCCCCAATATCTACCTTTGCTGTATGTGATTGATTCAAAAAGGCAGAACTAATCACTCCTTTCTGAGTGCCTTGTGAACACATCCTCAAGCCAATAAATAGGCTTTCTGCTTTTTCCCTGCACTGAACGACTTGTCGTCTGTGGCTTTGGCTTAGACCATTTCTGATCACCCAGAAAACAAATCAATTCCTTGTTTTCTTTTGAACGTCCACCCAGGTTACTGTCTTATAATAGTAGAGAAATAAAAAGCCTTTGAGGTGAGAGTGTTTATTTCAATAACAAAATCAAGCAAAACTCTCAGGGGAAAAAAACAAAAAAACAGTACAGGTGTGTGGGCTCCCAAAGTCATGTGAAATGGATGAAATTGCTCTTACAGTGAAGGAACAAAATCGTATTGTCTCTTATCTGACTTTTAAAGCCATTTTGTTGAGCTGAAAATCCTATATTCATAGAAAAGCCTTGCCTGAGGTGTCAGGATCATCTCTGATTATTAAAGGGAGGATTTTAAAGATCTAATTTACTTTTTGTTATGCACTGCTTGCTATTTGCATTCCACTCTGGCTGAACATTGAAGTGAGACAAGCCTTTGTCACCTTGTGTCTGGTCACGTCCCCGCCCCCCCCCCCCCCCCCCCCCCCCCCCCAGTCTCCCTACGCTAGCACAGCAGCATGGCAATGCAGGGCTGCAAACAGCAGCAACATGATTCAGGGGGAAGGTAAAATGGAGAAACAAATGGGGAAAAAAGCAATCCGATTGGGCTCCTAATCAGATGAAAATGTATTTAATGACAACATTTATATCGGTAGCAAGCTTTTCTTTCATAAAACCTTTTCTTTATAATTTCCTAAAATGCAGACACTTAGCCTTAACTACCACACGGCTGTAATATTGGCAGCCAGATGAGTACAGCTTTCAGGGAAAAGAAAACATAATGGGAAATCACTGTTATTTTACAGGTCTTGTAAAAATGAGGGAATCGCACAACCTGAGTGAAAACTCCAGATAGTGTTTCTCCCGGAATCTGCCCGTGGAGAAACCTAGATAGATGGTTTCAGTTCTGAGGTTGATTCCAGAAATGTATTTGGATTTTTAGTTTAGTTTATTCAGACATAACTACAGATTCATCCCGGCAAACAGATGTGTTGTTGAAGGTGAACTTTATGTCTGTTCATTGGCAAAGGAAGTGGAATTGAGAATTTGAACTAATTTCCATTTTTATTATGTAGTATGACGTTTGCTTCTTTGTTCTCTCATAATCAACTTCAGGCCTCATGAAAATACCCTAGCCGATCGTGTCTAATAGGGTTGGATTCCGTGCGCTGAATGTAGAGTTGTTTACGAGTGTTACATCCACCTGTGCACCTGACAGACTTTCTCTCGGCGGAGTAACAAATTGGATTTTTCAAGAGCGAGAGAGATACAAGCTCCTTCTAATAAAGTAAATATGATTCCACTTGTATATGGCTGAATTTTTAAACTAAACTAAAAGTGAATCTTTGGGTCATGAGGTGCAAGAATGGTTTTTCTACAACTTTGTTGAAGAAGATGCTGGACCACCCTCCTTTATCTTACTGATAAGGACCATGTCTGCATACCTTCTGATCCACCCTTGTCAATGGAACCAATTTTCATTCTGTCTTTGTGCTCACAGAAACAACTGCTGTGAGATTTAAGTCCAGTAGGCTGATCTTACTGGACTTAAGTCATAGATTTGTCTAAAAACACCAGGAGGAAGAGAGTTGGGATGCACACCAGTCTGTTCTGACACCCCCTTTCCTCCTGGCCTGATGTCATAAAGGTGACAGTGAGTGTTTCCCTCTGTGACTGATTTGATGAATCATCCACTACAGTCCTCACTCTAGTGGTCCATCATGACTCTATTTTCCATATGTTCTTTTGGCCTTTTTTTTTTCCCCCTGTGGCAATTGTGTGTTATGCCAACTCATATTTGAGCTCTTATTCTTCTTTGCTGTGTGTTATTTCATTTTTCTTGTTGTTCTAATAGAACACACTGACTAAAGCAATTTAAGAGATAAAGGGTTTAATTTGACTCATAGTTCTAGGTTATGGTCCATTTGGGCCTAGAAGTCACCTCAGCAATGGCTTGAGGCAGATAGACACAGGGAATTGTGAAGAAAGAAACAGTGATGAATGTCTGAACTCAAACAACTTTCTCCTTTGTTGCCACCCACAGTTATGGTGAGTCTTTTTCTCACCTTATCTTAATCAAGATCATTCCTCACAGACATGTCCAGAGTTTAATCTCACCTAGTCACTCCCAGACACTGGTCTCCCAGGTGATTCTAGGTTCTGTTGCTCAACAACCAGTATTAGCCATCCCAACTACCAAAGCCTTTTTATGTGCATCATCTTAGATAAACTTTAGAACATTTTTATGATAACACAAATACCTCCTCCTCTCCCCCACCTTCTTTTTCTCTCCTCTCTCCTCCTTTAATTGGGTGTGGTTTTGCTCTATTGCCCAAAGTTCACCGGGTCCAGACTTCTCTTGAACTCATGATCTTCCTCTCTTAGCTTCGTAATGACTGGAATTATATGCAAGGGCTACTATGCCTGGCTTCATCTTTTCTCCTAATAGTCACTCTAGTAAAATAACCCACTGGATAATCACAGATTGATTCTAATTGACTTTCACTTCAAAGACCACTATGACCAAGGTTCTCTAATGGTCTCCTCCTTAACCTCCATGGCAAGGACAGAAAGACTTAGAAGAGATTACAGTGCTTATCGTCTCAATAAGCTGAAGAAGCTGCTAGACTGAATAGATGGGATTTCATGTTGATGGAGACATGGAGAGCAGAATTGTGATTCTCCTGACTGGATATTCTGAAGTCAAGGAGGAAGGAAATAGGCAAGATGCAATGCATTCATTTTCTATTTAAAATATCAAGGAAGACTGATTCCAGAATATACAGTCAAATGACAAACTATATAGGATATCTTTTTGTCCAGTGAATAAGCAAGCCCTCCAAAAGATTTTGAATGTGTCAGGTGTATATAAGACCTGAAGGGCTTCTTACTGACCAAATTTGGTCATTTTGAGCTCAAAATATACAATGATATTTATGTACAAATCATTGAAAAATGTGGACCTCTGAGTTTACATGAAATTAGACAGTGAGAAAAACAGAGAATAAAAGAAAATGTAAAACAAATTAGTTCTTTCTTATAGTAAAACATAGACTAATTCACAGAATAAAGGTAATAACATATCATAAATAATCAAGGGATTATTCACTCCCATGGATAAAAATTTGACGAGTAACAGAACATTTAAGAATCTTAAAGGCTTACTCCTTCCCAAACTGATTCTTATAAGAGAAAACTAACAACTTCACCATGGAAAAACCTTTCAGATATCCCTCAAGCCTGGGAGAATATGTTACCTCAAGACATGCCAGTTTGTGTTGGCACAGAAGAGATGGGCCTCCTCTTCACTTGGGCAGCATGGGAGAGCTGGCTCTGGAGGTATGGATGAGGGAGAATTGGCCCCACCCCATGCTAGGGTGGTGAGGGAGAGCTGGCCCCTGCTAGCTGTAGCACTCCGGAGAGCGTGTGCTGCATCTCACCTGGGGAAAGCAGCAGAGCTGACCCTGGTGGTATGGGTGTGAAAGAGGCGGCACAGGGCAGGTGTGGGAGAGTGTGTGAGAACAGGAGAATTGGCCCTGGCCCTTTTTGGCTTTGGCACTCAGGTAAGGTGGCCCTGCCGGGGCAGCGCTGGAGAGCTGGCCCTGGTGGTATAGGTACGAGAAAGCTGGCCCCAATGGCATGAGCATGGGAGAGCCAGTCCTGCCGCCTTACCAACTACCACAGGCAGGAGAGCTGGTCCCACTCCTCACCTGGGCAAAGCAGAGTCGCTGCCCTGCTGGCACAAGCATAGGAGGGTGAGCAAGCTGACCAACTCAGCTACCACCCAGATCCAGATTCAGTACTTTAAGTTGGCCCACCCCAACGTCTACCTCGTCTAAGAACTTCTGGAGCATGTGAAGACCCAGAGCTGCAGGATCTCCATGACACAGCAACAACAGGCTATCCAAGAGACGTCTCAGTGAGGATCCAGTACTGATAGTATAGCAGAAGCCAGAGGCCTCAAACCAGACCAATGACTCATTACAAGGAACATTTGCAAACAAAACTGTTTTCCCAAAAGGGTAGACTGGGTAACACACCATGACACACCACAGCTTTCACAGTGAGATAACTTTTTGTTTCTTTGTTTGGGTTTTTTGTTATTTGTTTTTAATTTTCATTTTTATTTATTTTTTATCATTTTTACTTTTTGTTTTATTTTGGGGGGATGTTGCAAGGGCAGAGGGAGGATATGGAAGGATAGGGAGGTGAATGAATTGGAGTGCATGATATGAAATTCACAAAGAATCAATAAAAAAAATTTTAAAAAACGAAATTAAAGAAAAGACATGCCGTTTTGATGCAAGGATGATTTTGCATTGAAGAAACTTTTAAAAAGAGAGGATTTTGACATTGGTTTCCAGCCAGATCTACACCAAATAAATAGTGGTCAAGGGATTTCCCCAACTTGATTAGCGTGGACTTTCTCGCTTTTCCTCGATATGCTTACGTATTTCATCTAAAGTTATGCTTCCTAACCCAGGTTCAGTTTCATTCTGTATGGCCAACCTCTGCAAGTAGAAAAGCCAGAACTAGATTTCAGACTTTTCCAACTGTCAGCTTTGTACCCAAACAAACTAGTCATTGCTGTCCCTCAGAAGGAAAGCTGCCTCTCACATATAAAAGAATCTTCGTCTTGGACGGTTCTGTATCTTCAAAGGTTGTTTTGAAATGTTGATGTACCATATAAGTAAAAAAAAAGTCTCCAAGCAGATTAAATGCATATATAAATACATAATATAGCCCACTGACTCCAGTTGGCAGAGTTATATCTTTAGGATAAGAGGCAAAACACTCCCCAAGGAAGTTGGAGACTCCTTTTTCCTGCTGCCAAGTCCTCCCCACCGACTCACACACGCTGACTAATGCATATGCTTATATTGTAAGGTTCCAGGCACTGGTCTTCACTGTGGCCCGGGGTAAGGAGACGTCCTAGTGCAGCCTCTGAGTTCCATCTCTTGTCCTCTGCTACATTTCTAAGGTCTTTCTTGTTTGCACGTGCATGGCCATGAGCAGCATAGGTGTCCTGAAGCCCTCGATTCACATTCAATAACATTAAATATGAAATTCATTTTGTAATTTTTAAATGTTGCAACATACACATACAGTATTCTTTTAGAAAAAATAAGAAGTACAGCTATAAAGCACTCATTTAGTCTGTTGTTTTAATTTTCTTACTCAAGCAAAATATTATCACAGATCTCTTTTTATTTGACAGTCAGCAGAAATAATGTTGACTTTGCCCCCCTCTTATGAATGAACCATTAGAACTCTGAAATTTCCTTCCATTCCTTCTTAAGGACCTCCAACTCCTGTCACGTCACTTTGTACCTTCTGTTGTAGCAGCTTTCACTATCATTGACATCCCCTATTGCAAAATCTTCCATTAAAGAAACAAGTACAAGATATTTATTTATTACATTGATTATGAACAGCTGGGTTGTTTCTTGTTTAAAATATTAAAGCAAAGTTATTGGGGAAATGAGCTTTTCTGTGCGTGATTTCTGTTGCCGAAAAACCTTAATCTCTATTATTTATGTATATATGAGTAGGCTGATCATGTACACATTTAGCTATTGTTAATACTGCTAATTATTTTTCTAGCAGTGGTTATTGAAATAATTTGACTGTTGAATCAACTTATCATTGCATTAGTTATATAATTTTTGAGCTATCTATTTGATTCGTGCCTTTACTAACACTTAGTATTTTCAGCCTTTTGAAATTGAGGTTAGACCACGGTGGTGGTGCATGCCTTTAATCCCAGCACTCGGGAGGCAGAGCCAGGCCAATCTCTGTGAGTTCAAGGCCAGCCTGGTCTACAGAGCAAGATCCAGGACAGGCACCAAAACTACACGGAGAAAGCCTGTCTCGGAAAAAAAAAAATTGAGGTTAGGGGCAACAAGATGACTGAGCCCCGGCTGCCCATGCCTTAATGGTCTGAGTTAGGCTCTCCTATCCCACTTCAAGGCAGATGAAGAGAACCAATTTCATAAAACTTTCTGACTTCCACACAAGGACTGTAGTATAAGTACCCACACAAATAATGTATGCATACACTAAATAAAAAATTAAAGTATTAAAAAATAAAATTGATGTTTATTCTTTTGGGGGCACAATGTTGTATTGTATGGCTTAAGTTGTAGCATAAATCTTAAATGGTTTTATTAATAAAAACAAACCTGGGGCCAGTTATTGGGGTGAATGCTGGAAGATCAGAGAAGCAGAACAAGCCACAGCTACCTCACCTTGCCAATTCCTCAGCTGATCCTGTTTCCTCAGACTGGATGCCTCTGAGTCCTTATCCAGAATGAATCTCAGCTGAACTGCTTCTCGAAAGCCTGAAAGCTTAACCAGACCAAAAACTTCTAGTTTCTGGTCTTCACGTCTTATATACCTTTCGGTTTTCTGCCATCACTTCCTGGGATTAAAGGTGTGAGTTACCATGCCTGGCTGTTTCCAGTATGGCTTTAAACTCACAGAGATCCAGATGGATCTCTGCCTTTGGAATGGTAGGATTAAAGAAAGGAGTGTGCTACCATTTTCTGGCCTCTATATCTAGTGGCTGTTCTGTTCTCTGACCCCAGATAAGTTTATTAGGGTACACAATATTTTGGGGAACACAGTATCACCACATTAAGTTTATACTGAATTGAGGAAAAATGAATCTGACCAAATTTTCATGTGGCTACTGGCCGTTTTGGCATTGATTTGTTTAAATCATTCTTAATATTTTGTTCAATTATTAGTTATGATTTTATTTATTAGTTCTTTGGTATCCTTTATATATCTTGCTGATGAGTACATAGAATATATATATGTAAATTCATATTGTGTGTATATATATATATATATTAACAAAAAGAAATATTACATTATATAACATACCATAATGCATTATGTAATCATCCTGCTAGGGATAACCATTCTGATTCCTGCTTGGATCTATTTTATTTATGTGTTTTCAACTTTTTTAAGATTATATTTCAATTACAACATTTCTCCCCTCTCTTTCCTCTCACCGAGCCCTCAGATATACCCTTTCCCGTATTCCTCCAAATCCAGGCCTCTGTTTTCATCAATTGTTATGACATGCAGGAAAATTTTCATCACATATGTTTCGTTGTAGTCAGAATTCATTTCTGAATGAAGCAGCACTGGGCATCTTAACCCACAGCCTTCAAGCTGCTAAGAGAATTAAGTATGATTAAGAATACTATAGTGGGCTGAATTTATGTAAAATTAGGTAACAATAAAAAAATACGTGCAGCAGTGAAAATCTCAAGGGATGAGTTATTGGGGAACTGGAGAAGAAATTTTTACCTTCTTGAATACTTATTGATTATTTTTTTTTCTGTAAAAACATACTATATTTAGATTTAAAGTCCCTACTAATGTTATACAAGTAATTCTCTTTTAGAGTAATTTTTTAATAAAATGTACTATTATTCATTCCAGGAATGATAGGTTCTGGTCTAATTAGGTTGGCCTCTTACCTCTCTGCCAATGGAAGCAAGAAATGGCCCAGTAAACATAAATGAGGACGCTGTCAAAGATCCTGAACATAGATACCTCTAGTTGCAAGCTATTAACTTGTTTTGTAAGTATCAAGGATGCATGGAGGTACATTTTTGGGTTCTTGATAAAATTAAAATCATTGAGTTTTAATTCATAAAAAAACTGTTTTAGAACACATATCCTTCTTTAATGCAATTAACTCCGCATGACTGGGAAAAAATAAGTACCCACTTCAAGGTGCAATTCATATCCAAAGAGGCTGGTTAATTCACCTGGCTGGATTTTGAGCTAATGATTGAGAAATGACCAACATAGTACTTAGGATTTCCACAGAAGAAAAACTTCACAACCGAGTTCATGTCTAAGGTGTTAAATTTTGCTTTGTCTGGGAAAGTACTTATTAACATTTCAGTAGTATTTTATATGTCTTTTTTAATTTTTCTCATCTAATCTCCTTTGATATGATATGTCTCTTAAATTGTGAAATTTTGAAGTAAGACTCTCTGTCTTGGTGCTGTGGAATTTCACTTGACAAATGTTGCCCCTAAAATGCTACCGAAATCTTTCCAGGACCTGTGGAGGCAGACGTGACTCTTCTCATTTGTACTTCCAGGATTTCAGTGGGAAACCACTGCCATGTGCACTGCACGCTAATGACAAGCTGGATGTTTACACGAGAGCCTGTATGTTCTCACACTGCTTTCTGAAACAAGTAATAATCAGCCTGTCATCAATGTCATACTGCAATCAGGCTTTGACAAGGTTGGCAAATAACTTGAAAGGAACTACTCATTCCTGAACACAGCAGATCAAAACCAGACCTGAACAAAAACTCCAAATCTGCTAAATGTCAGCTGTGGAGGCTTAAGGACATGGTATGCAAAGGCAGAAGCAACAGCAGAGAGAACAGCCAAACCCTACCTTCCCCTCCCACAGTTAACTAGTTAACTCTCTCTCTCTCTCCTCTCTCTCTCTCTCTCTCTCTCTCTCTCTCTCTCTCTCTCTCTCTCTCTCTCTCTCTCTCTCACACACACACACACACACACACACACACACAGGTTTTCTCAGCTACCAATCTATCAATGAAAAACAATGATCAGATACCTGAAATGCCCCTGATTGGCAGCACTACCTGTGCTATGCCTGAAAATCATAGGAAGCACAAAGCACATGCCCATTCTTCCTGGAGTTTGTTCTCTCCGCCCACAGGCTGGGACAGGCAGGGTCTCTAACCTATTCAAGTATGTTCATTATGGAGGAGGTTGTGGACACAAGGCATTTTTTTCTTTCCTCCTCTTCTCAGTCCTTCTGACTATAAAAAGGAAACACTATTTGTGGCACATGCTAATCTGTAGATATTACCAACTTTAAGAAACCAGTTAAAGATATATCTAATACTTTGAGAAGAAGGTTGTTTAGAAGAAAATGTTTGTTTTTAATATCAAATGTTAACAATTTCACTCCAAGTATCAGTTTACTTTTGAAGTTTATGTTTTCATAAACATCGGGATAGTTTTTACACATATAGACTTCAATATTCATGACATATGCCTAAGACTCAAGCCAGACAGAATGCTAGCATGGAGAAAGGAGGTGAACACTGAATCCCATCCCTACCAGAGAAGCTATTGGCAACTGATAGATGCTGGGAGAAGAACAGGCAATTTTCTTTAAGAATATATTCCCTGGGGTATCAACCATGCTCCAGTGGAAGGCCACATATCCAAATATTGGACTTGATATGTAAAAAAGATAAAGAAGACGCAAAGATGGATGGACAAAGAAGGGGAGGTGGCATGGACATGGGAGGAGTTGGAAGATGGAGTGAATATGATCAAAACACATTGTATGTTTATTATATGTGTATTGTATGAAATATTACTTCATGCATAGGACATGAAAACAAATTTAACTACAGATTTTGTTCACTGTTGATTTCGTCTTAGCATAGAATAATTTAATTCATAACTATTGTAGTGAGCTTTAGAAAGAACCCTGACCATCAGTTGTTCAGAGGCATAACTCATTCAAAGTAAATATGTCAACAAAAGTAACAACAATCCTATCATCAGCGTAAAGTCCACATTCCAAAAATAAAGAAGATATAAAACACATTGAACAACCCCTTTTGTGTCAGTGTAACTATTTGAAACTGTGGTCCACATAATATTAAAATAAATATTCGATAAAAAATCACTTTATAAGTATATGTTGATCATTAATTACATTGTCATTGTAGAATCTGGACCATCTTGAGTATGAGAGATAAGCATAGTACACCAGAATTAATTCCTGTTTTTGAGTTTGTGATCTGGTTAGGGAGAAGATGCTCATGTACATGAACACTGTGGTGGTTTGAATAAGAATGACCCCCCATAGGCTCATATATTTGACTGCTTGGTCACCAGAGAGTGCTGTGGGATGGTCTGTATGTCAAATGTGTTGCTGATTGGTCAATAAATAAATCGCTGATTGGCCCGTGGCCAGGCAGGAAGTATAGGCGGGACAAGAGAAGAATAGAGCTGGGAAGTGGAAGGCTGAGGCAGAGAGACACTGCCAGCCGCCATGATGACAAGCCGCATGTGAAGTACCGGTAAGCCACAAGCCACGTGGCAAGGTATAGATTAATAGAAATGGATTAATTTAAGCTGTAAGAACAGTTAGCAAGAAGCCTGCCACGGCCATACAGTTTGAAACCAATATAAGTCTCTGTGTTTACTTGGTCAGGTCTGAGAGGCTGTGGGACTGGCGGGTGAGAGAGATTTGTCCTGACTGTGGGCCAGGCAGGAAAACTCTAGCTACAAATGGCATCCAACGTGGTGGCGAGAGTTTCCACCTAAAAACTGAGAAAAAAAAGATTCTAAAACAAAGCTAAAAACAGCTTCCTAATTGTCTCTTTCAAATGAGCGGCAGCTGCGGGTTTGAGCTACTGGCGGGTTCCTGGCGTGCGTGCTCGACCTGCCGCCGTATGGCGGGAATGAGGCCTTTGCAAGTGACACATTAAGCTGCATGGTGGATTTAGACTTTGCTAGCACAAAACAAAACAAAAAAAAGTATTTTGGGCTACACGCTGCTTGGATAAAAGCATAGAGACCCACGATAGCTCCCAGAGCTGGTGGTAAACTACCGCCGCCATGTTGGGAAGCTGAGGTGGGCAGAGCCAGCAGCCACAGCTGCTGCAGTTTAAGGCAATAGATTCACAATAAGACAGATTCAGATGTAATAGTTTACAATGTGTGTAAAATGAACGTAGGCTTGAAAGAGACAAAAAGGTGATATATACAGTTATATAAACAAATACATAGTTTTAAAAAATAAAGTCTTTAAAGAGACAGTAAAATTAATATAAAAAATAAGCCACGTAAAGATGACTATTACACAGAGAATCTGGATTGTGTTGTCTTTGGGATTTTTAACTGCAGAAAAACATTTGATTGTAAAAGCTGTTGAGTTATGCCAAAATGTATATTTTAAAGGTACCTTGACTTCAAAATTTGGATATAAGGATATGTTGCTTTGGAAAGGAGACTCTGCTTTTGTTCCCACAGAAAGCCAGAGGCTATGGATTTGTTCCAGATTAAGATACATCAGGTTTGACCAGCCAAGACCCCCTGAAAGGTCTCCGATGACACCATGGCCCAGATGATCCAACATCCAAAACCGTTTCAAGGCAACTGGCTCAGACGATACACCCTCATGGACTACACCATGACCCTAAAATATTCTTTGTGTCCCCATAAGATACAGCGCCCCCTTCCAGCAGGAAGTAGTAAGAGAAGCTGATTGGCCCGTGGCCAGGCAGGAAGTATAGGCGGGACAAGAGGAGAATAGAGCTGGGAAGTGGAAGGCTGAGGCAGAGAGACACTGCCAGCCGCCATGATGACAAGCCGCATGTGAAGTACCGGTAAGCCACAAGCCACGTGGCAAGGTATAGATTAATAGAAATGGATTAATTTAAGCTGTAAGAACAGTTAGCAAGAAGCCTGCCATGGCCATACAGTTTGAAACCAATATAAGTCTCTGTGTTTACTTGGTCAGGTCTGAGCGGTTGTAGGACTGGCGGGTGAGAGATATTTATCCTGACTGTGGGCCAGGCAGGAAAACTCAAGCAACAAGAGAATGTCACTATTTGAAAAAATTAGGAAGTGTGGCTTTGTTGGGGTAGATGAGGCCCTGTTGGCGGAAGGGTGTCACTAGGGGTGAGCTTTGCCATCTCAAAAGACCATGCCAAGCCCAGAGCCTCTCTCTTTCTGCTGCCTGTAGATCTAGATGTAGAACTTCCAGCTACTTCTCCAGCACCATGGCACCATGCTCCCCACCATGATGACAGTGGACTAAACCTGTGAAACTGTGTGCAAGCCCCAAGGAGATGCTTTCTTTTTTCAGTGTTGGCATGGTCAAGGTATGCCTTTACAGCAATAGAACAGTAAGTAAGATAAACACACAGCAGTAACTCTGTGAAAGCTCACAGTGAACAAAATCAAAATCTGGGATACAACAAATATCCACATTGTTTAGGAACATTTAATTACCTTCCAATTTTCCCAGTATTTTCAGATCATTTTTCACAATTATAAAAATCCAGGAACACAGACAGAGAGCATTGCTGCAGCTTCTGAGATCTCGCTCTACTTACATGTCTAGGCTGCCATCACCACTTAGTTTTGACGGTCTAGGCTTGTCCAATTGTCCATTCTGTTATTGGTTTTCTTTACTGAACCTATGATGTCTAGTCAATTGGTCAATTTCACATCAAAATCTAGAGAACACAGAGTTTTCCCCTACAACAGCTTACTTAAGATTGTATATGTTTTAGCAAACTAAATAGAAGGTTTAATGATTTCATTAAGTAACAAAAATGAAGGAGAAATTTAAAGCAGGCTGTAAAGCAGCACAGGTCTAACAATGTATCAGTTGTACTGCTCTGTGTATTCCAGACCCTTCTGTTTTCTGTAGTCTAACACCTATCTCTCATGACTACTAAACTCCCTTTCTCTGACTTCTTCACTGTAAATCTCCAAAACAGTTAATATGGACACATTTTAGAGTCATGGGGCTACTCAGAAAGAAAACAGATTTATACATAATTGGTAAAGTCCTTTAAACTCTTCTCAAATCAAACATGCTCTAGAGAATCAGCTCTTTGGATTTATAACTCAGATACACTGGAGAAGGCCAAGAATAAAAGTAAGACTACACAAACCCTGACAACTAACAGCTCTTTATATGAATCTTTATTGTTCATATGATACAACCTAATAAGTGCTTGTTGAATTTTTCTTCAAATTTCACTAAGCCCATTTCATTTTTGATATTCATCACTCAGATAGACTCTATTTACCAGTACATGTGAATACTTGAACCATTGTTACCTATCTGGAACTGATGAAATAACCTGAAATAATTTGTGTGCCACAAAGTCTAATACTTTCTGTAGAGATGTTTTAAATTATTATTATTATAGCCCATTGCATTAAAGCAAAAATCTATAGTTTACTTTAGCAAAACTGTACAATCTTATGCCATAACAAAACTCAATTCAGCCACTTATGTGTATCATTCAATAAGAAATCTTTGCAGTTTCCAATATGTAATGTTGACATCTATCCAAGTTATTCCTTCTTTCTGGAGTTGACATTGCTTATCTTTCTATGAAGTATTCTTCAAAAACTAAGTAACCTTGGAATCATCAATAAAGCAGCTCCTCCTTATGGAAACCTAAACTGCAGTTGTATTTTAGACATCTTAAATATGCCATAAGACAACAGTACTCTAAAATGTAAAAGATAAATTATATTTGGCATTGTGCTTTCCAACATCATTTCAAATAGCTCATTGAGCTTTCAGAACTCTTTGAAAACAGCCAGCTGTTTTAGGAGACTCAGAAGTAATTAGGCACAGAACCAAGGCTGTAGTCTGTGGCAATCTGCTGGAGACCTCCTAGATACACATTATTCCAAATAATTTTCTCAAAAAATATTTCTTGAATGTCAGAGAAGATGCGGTGCGAGAAGACGGTGATAGTGATGAACTAGAAAGACAATGTTGACCTTTAAGGAATCTATATAATGAGAAGAGAAAATGATGACCAAGGACACAGATAAATTAATTCATCATTCATTCATTGCACATTGTATTTTGTGTAACAAAGATGATAAGTCTTATGCTCATGTATAAAGAAATATAATTTTTATAGTTTATTTACTTTTTGAGATTAGACTTTAATTTTAACATTTTACTCTTTACTTCAAACCCTTCCATAAACTTCTCCACAATCTCCTTCAAATTTGTGGCCTCTTTTTTAACTATTATTGCATACATATAAATATAAATATACATATATATTCCTAAATATAACCTGTTCAGTCCATATAATGTTGACCCTTTGGCACTGGAAAACTAATAGATATGCTCTTCCCTAGAGAGGACTATCTCTTCCATTCCCAGCTTTCCTCAGTTGTCTATAGTTCTTGGTTTGTGTTGAGGCCTCATGAACTCTTCATCCAGTTTGGCATGTTCTTGGTGCCACCCTTGCTCAGCTCACATTTGGGTGGTCATGTCAGTGAGACGTTCTGGGTGTAACTTCTGATATTACTAGGGACCAATCTCACATCAAACTTCCAGATTGTCAGGTTCTTACAATCTTTCTGCCCCCTCTTCTATAATTTCTTACATATATAACATTCTATAATCAATATTCCCCTCATTATTATCTTATCTTCTTCTCTAACTCACCAAACCCCTTCATGACCCCAAGACTCCCTTCTACTTCTATTTCTTTTCTGTAGAATTGCCTGCATGAACATGAACATGAAGTTATTTGCATGAGTGGGGACAATATACCAGTGGCTATATCACAGAAGAATATGACTCCCCTATTCTGCAACTTTAAAATATTTATAGCTCCTATGGGAAGGGCAGGGACTTATGAGAACCTTTCTGACCCATGAGAAAATGAGGTTTGGCCCATCTTGTGCAAGTCTTATATAGGTCACCACTGCTGCTCTGAGTTCATGGGTGTACCAGTCATGCCAAGTCCAAAAGACATCAGGTTATAGTATTCATTCTCACCTTGACTCTTACATTCTCCTCCCTCCTCCTGCATGCAACCAACCCACAATGTTCCCTAAGCTTTGCTGGGGTAGTACAGATATACCATTCAGAGTAGAGCTCTGCCTTAAATATTCCCCACTACA